CACCATGTGTTAGCTAAGCCTTGGGCAAGGGGCTGGTGATACACAAATAAAGATGTAATTTTCAACCTTGGAAAAATGTTCTGAGGGTGAGAGAAGCAGCTGAGCTTTAAAAAAAATGAAGACAGAATATTAGTTCTATAATAGAGGTTTATATAAGGTTTCCATAGGAACTCATAAATGAGCAATTAACCCAAGTGCCCTTAAGGTTGTGGGAGGAAACAGTAAGTAATGAGGGTGGAGGGCAAGTTGGACCTGATCTTGCATGGGATCACACCACTTTGAAAGGAGAAACAACAAGAATTAAGGGTTGGATCAAAAAGAAGCCCACACCATGACCTGAAGATCCCCCCTAGAGCACGAGCCCTCAATTCTGTATGCCAGCCGCCTGGCGTGGGGCCTTCTACCTGGAGGTAGCTCAATAAATATTTGTGAATTAAACAGTGAATGCTGTTTTGCCTTTGGAACAGAAGGTAGACCTGCTAGACCAAAGGACACTGCTTCCTAAAACATTAACACAGCATTTAATTTCTCATTATGACTCTCTGAACATTTAATTAATAATTGTTATGGGAAGAGGAGAGCAAAGTGGTAATTAATAGTTATTGGCCAGAACTACTGCTGAAATGAGTCCAATTATGAAATGAACTAAGTACACCCAAAAAGAGCATGAATTCCAGAAGTGATGAGAGGCCATGAACACCATGGTCTCTGAGGAATATTCTTAATCCAAGCAGCTGTAAGGGAAGATGTGTGCAAAATAGGAAGAATGGAGAAATGATCGATGTTAAATGATAAATTTGGTCTGCACTTCCTAGAAGGACCAACATTGCCACTGGGCTGTTTCCTCCCAACCAACAGCAGAGAATGAAATGAGAACAGAAGAAGAGTAAAGGCTAGAGCCATCATATCCAGGTGGCAAATGCCAGGATGCCAGCAGGCCCTGGGGCTCTAGCACTTCGGAGGTCAATAAATCCCCATGACCTGACAGCTCTTCATTCCTCCTTTAAGAGGCAGCATGCTCATGCTTTTGGAAAGATGACTACAGGACTGCTTATACATAAAGAACCTCAAAAACACTTGTTTGGGTAGTTTGGGTGACTGACCACTCCATTGATCCTTGGGGTTAACTTGCCCATCTGCTACCACTGTTCCCACCAGGGGTCCTCCTTTGCACACTCTTCCATGCACACTTAACCCCCCACACCAGCTGGTTTCTCTCCACAAACTACCTCTTCTCCACAGCATAGGTCTTCGATTTTCAATCTTTGGAAATTCATAACACCCAAACCATTAATAAAGCTCATGTTTGTTTTCTTTTCTGAACAGTCTTTTACGACTATAACATCCTTGGTATTAGGTAGCTAAAAATTTTTTTAAAATTAAATCTCTTGAGGCTGCAGGTTAAAGAAAATCTCAATGTATAGGTTCTGATTTTTTAAAGAAAAACATGTAATTTATAAAACCGTATGCTAAAGAAGATATTAAGAAAAGCAGGCACAGAACTCCTACAAATAAAAATAGTAACTGGAAAAATAGGTTGAAGAGAAGAAAGGAAATGTTTAAAATACCAGTGGTGTCTATGACTTTACTCAAGCACTGATTGGGACAATTCTTCTCTACTTTTAAAGTAGCTCCTTTAAGAAAATTCCATTTTCTACCCCCTAGGAAATGATGTTACCCTGAGAGTTATGTGATGCAAAGGTGACATTCTGTGGCTGAACCAAGGAATTGCAAGGGTTTGATGCAAATATCCTGGGATTCCATCCACCCCTTCCCTTCAGGTCTTCATTAACTTGTAGGCTGAAGGGTCAAAGTTAATCTAATAGACTATTGCTTTACATTTTACAGGCTAAACTGCAACAAATTTCAAGTGTAAGCCTATCTGCTTTCTTCTTTTTTCTATTTTTTTATTTTAATCTTAAGATCTCAGAGTCTACACGGAATGCTGTAAATTACCCCTTCATCAGAGGCACTTCATATAGCAGAAAAAGAGAGAAGGTTGGAATCAGAAAACTGAGTCCCAGCTCTGCTCTTCCTAGATGTTATCTTGCCTTCTCTGTGTCTCTCTTTTCTCACTGGTACATTATGCCATCCATAGACCATGGAAAGGTGTTCCCGCCTTGGGTGTGAAGGACAGAAAGACAGGATATGCAGTGCAGTGTTGTACCAAGACAGGTTTTCCACTTCTCAATGGAGAAGCACCTCTTTCAGGCAGAGATCTCACTCCATTTGCAGTATCCATACCTGCCAGGTAAACTCCAAAGCAGGCAGACTTGCCTTGTGCCTTCCACAGACCTCTCCAATCTTCCTTCCTCCATTACTAACGTGAGCACTGGAAATGTCTCAGGCACACAGGGAAAATGCTCTCTTCCTCTACAGAAAACATGTTGCAAATACAATGTCTAATTCATCTCCCAGGGCATAGGTTTCCAGAGTCAATATATTAACATGTCACTGGGTAGCATATAACAGCAGACTGAACTTGAATCCAGATTACTGAATTCGGCAGACTGGTTCCCCCCAACTTGATATCCCAAGTCATAGGGCAATGTTTGCATTGTCTCATCCTTTTCTTTTTGGAGGCCTGGAACTACCAAAAAGTTATTTGGCTAAGTATTTTCCAGACTGTAGAGACTTGCTTAGCCCTCCAGCCAGTTTTATTTTGACAGGCAGAAGTTTCATTTTCCAGATGTTCTGGGGCACTTAGGATTTCTCTTTTGCCCCTCTGAAGCAAAAACTGAAACCACTAATGGACTGAAACTTTAAATAGATTAACTCCCAACATTATCTGGCTCAAATTTATCTTTGTATCACTATAGCTGTCCTTTTGCCCACTGTACTTCTTTTACTTTCATTGGATTTCTACCTTCCCATCAATAAGTAAAGAAATAGGAAAGAGCAAAATGAGGTGGAGACTTAACATCAAAACCTATGACTTACTTTTGCCTTTTCCATTTCTTCTGTTAGAAGAAGAGCAGAGTTATATTTGGGGGAGTATAGAAAAAGAGAACAATGCATCAGTTATTTACCTGCATTGAAATAAAAGTGAAAATGAGTATTTTTTTAACACTAAAGCTAGATGAAGGTCTGGAGGGTGGAGAGAAATGACAGAATGGTGAAAATTGGTAAGAACTGAGCTGACTTTGTTCTATCTGTTTTCATTAAAACATAGTTTTTAGAGTTTTCAGTTATATTGAGAAATTTTCTCCCTGTCTTCTAAAAGATGCCAAAAATTTTGCACTTGAGGGTCAGCAAACACCTGACAACCCAGGAAGTCCAATAATGTACTAAGGGGAACAGGCTCATAGCACTGTGTGTGACCGAAGGGTTTCAGGTCCCCTCACACTGAGGACGAGAAAACATGTTTTTCTAAGTAAGTAGAGTTGACATCAGCTTAGAATAGAATTAGATGCAAGTGGCTAGGTAGAATTCATTTTACAGGAATCAGATATTAGAGAAAAGACTGGTGTGGACAGGCCTGCAGAGTCCTGGTTCTAAGGGTATGTGTATCCCCTACACATGCAAGCTCTTCAGAGGCTGCCTCCTCATGTCTGGTGAAAACCAGAGCCTGATATTTACGCACACCCTGCTGGACATCCCTCACTGCAACAGTCATGCATTCAAAGGTTCAAACACAGAGCTCTGATGCTTTATAAAATTCCAAAGGGAACTTATCATGGAGTTCAAATGTATTTAGACAGGTCATTTAGATTTTGCAGCTCATACAGTCTCTGTCACAATTTTTGTTGCAGAACATAAGCAGTCATGATAAATATGTAAACAAATGAGCATGGCTATGTTCCAATAAACTTTATTTACAAAAATAGGCAGAGGGCAGATCTTGACCCATTTGCCAAGTTTGTCAAGCCCTGTGTTAGACAGCAAAGAACTTCTCTACAGGAGAAAAGTGTTTCAACTAAAGCAGGAGTTCTTACTGAGGCCTCTTATTTGGTGCTTTACATATTCATCAGATAGAGTCCTTTTTATCAGTTAGGAATGCCTTTGGCTGCAGGTATCAGAAAACCCAACTCAATTGACTTACACAAATAGCAATTTCTTATTTTCCTGTAATAGGAGTACAAGGTTAAATGGTTGCTGCCAACACTCTGCTTGCCCTCCCTCACTGCTTCCTTGGATGCTCTCTCCTCCACCATTCTCAGCCTATCGGCTGGTCATCTCTCATCTACCAGATGGCTGGTGCTCCAACAAGCATCACATTTGACTCTGAGGATGCAGAAAAAGAGAGGGACAAAAGGATGGGTCAACCATAATCCCCCCTTTTTCTAATCAGAAAAGGAAAAGTGATTCCAGGAACACCTCTAACCCAGCTGATAAAAGAGTTCTACTTGTATCTCATTGGCTAGAATTATGGCATGTGGGTAGCGCAAAAAGAAGGGGAATTTGGTATTTGCTTTTGCAGCCTTTGAAGTAGAAAAAAGCAGAAAGAAAAAGGTATTGGGGTGAGAACTGAGATAGCCAAACTACACCACTGTGTGTAGGATACTGTGTTGGTGATAAGAAAAGCATCCTAAGCAGAAGTTCAAACATATGCTAACCATGGAGAGCTATAAGAGTGATCCCTGGTGAGGAGGATCTGCAGGTTGCTTCTGTTAGCAGAAACCTTGACAGCAATGTACTGGTGCGTTTAATGAGCTTTACTGGTGCTGGTATTTTAGTCATATTGATGATGAACACATATCTACCAATCAATATTGCTATTACCAAAATTTCTGACTTTCTCCCACCCTTGACCCAAGAAAAATATGGAAGAGGGTTTGTTGTCTACGATTATATATAAAGATGGCTAAGATAGGTAACCCTCTCAGCCACCACAAAAAACATTTTACCACAGAAAGGCAAAGGCTAGACATAAAATACTGTACTGTACATAGCTGAGATTCTAGGGAGAACTTTTGGTGATAGGAAAGAAGTTATCTCAATATTGGCATAATATCATGGTTAAATTACTGATTACATTTTTGACAAGAGGTAGCCCTTACTTTGTAATGTCCATAGAAGTTAGCACTTTGGTTTTCGGTCTTGCCTTGAAAGTAGTATGACACATAACTTCAAACCACAACCTCGTAGTTTAACCCATTTCAATTTCCAGGCATTGCTTTTCTGTTAACAGTCTAATAGTTCAGGCTCAGAGGCAACCTTTAAAATAGTGCAGTTGTTCTTTTGGGGATGTTTGCTCTGTAAGAAAGAAGCAGAACAGTTAAATTAAGAGTAGGTAATTTTCTGGAAGAGTGATGGGAAAAGAGATACCCAACCATACAACTGTGACACATGCACAGAAAATGCCCCCACATCTGAGCTGCATTCTTATTTTCAATGCAATAAAAATACACTATGGCCATGGGAGTTCTGCAATTTGACTATAAAATGTACATAATCACAATTATCTGCAGCCTGTTTCAAATAATTCCTTTTACTGTCAAAGCAAGTTCATTACTATCATCTCATCTGATCTTTATGGCAAGTGTTTGGTGTCTACCTGTTTCTGTCAAAGGGGAATCCAACACAGAGGAGGACAATCTGCCCAAGAGCTCACAGACACTTCCTGTGCCCGTCTGTCCTATACCAATGGAGTGTCTATTATTTGCTTCCAAAACACAGAAAACTGGTTCATCTCCTTTTCAAGATCACACTGCATTTCCATGTCAATTTCTTACCACTTTATGCACCCTTTTAAAATATTTAACTAAGTGCTGAACTTGCACTTTGCTACCTAGGCCCCCTATTTTTCTTTCATTCTATAAATGAATGTGAGTCTGAACTGGTTTTACCAGCTCTGAAATACCTCTTTTGGGTCCCCATGAAAATAATGTGCTGTCACTTTTAAAAAGAAACAAGTTGAGTCACCTCCTGGGGTTTTTCACTCTTCAGGATCCAAACTTCATGGATTAGATGAACTCTCTCCTATTTAGGGGCAAGGGGAGGGGGGGAGTTAACTTTCCTGTGTCAGTGCAACACCTCAGTGGAGAAATACAAAAGAAAAGAAAAAATCCCAAGTGGGTAATGAGAATAAGGTGAGGCCAGGTTTCAGGGTCCAAGCCACACCTCAGAGACAAGCTGGGCTGAACCCACCCATGACTCCTTCCAAAAACACGAAAATTGCTTAGGAGGAGCCACCCCTCCCAATGGCAGCCGCATTCCTGGGCCTCAAGCTCCCAAACCTGCCTTCCTAGCAGGGGCTTTCTCTGTGCAGCCCATCCCCTTTCTTTTGTTTTCATGATGGTCCATTTGGCCCACTAAAGCCAGCTTTTTGCATATTAAAACTTAATTTGTTTAAGGACAAACAGTCGGAGGTCTGCTTCTCAGGGGCTGAAGTGACACAACACAGGAGCTGGGCTTTGGCCTTGGGGGCTGCCGACTTGGCAGATCCCTGATTCTGAGAGACCAGCCGTGAGCTGCTTCACTGTCAAGACTCCAAAAGGCATTACCCTGAGCTCCAAGGTGGAGCTGTTTACCAATACCGTGATCTCTCCCCAGATGCAGTTGCTACTGCAGCTAATTAAGAGAACAATTAAGACCAAGGCAATCAGTCAAGTACACAGACCTCAGTCATCTTCCCAGCTCTCAGATGCTGCACTGCTCCCAGGGGGCTGAACTGTATTCAGTCATTCAGAAAATGACAGGAAGAAGCTATTAAATATCTGAAAACCATAAAAATGCAATCATACCGTTCTTTAGCTGAGCCATCCACCAGAGAGCAATGCCCAGCAACTTTAGAAACTTAGCAGTCCCCTTGAATTCACACACTCACAAATAAGAAGATTAATCAAAGCAGCTCAAATCAAAATTTAATTACAAGGTGGGGATGGGAGAAGCTGTGCTGGCCATTCTCCTGCTTTTTTTTTTTGTTTGTTTATGACGGATCAATACTTCTTGTATCAGCCAAATGCATGACAAAGTCCATGGGGTATCTTTAGAAAGGAAGTAACAGATTAAATATTGAGCTAAACAATTTAATCTTCTTCTGGAAGAATTTTCAGATATTTGTAAAAGTAAATCCTATTAGTGGGGAACCATCTCCATGTGCAAGACTATATAGCCTCATTGGGAGAAGGTCATAAACACAGATACACAAGCCACTAAAACAAAACTTTTCCTAACAGCATAGCAAATAGAGACCAGATAAAAAAATTTCCCTTAAAAAGAAAAACATCACACACACACACATGCGCGTGCATGTGTGCACATGCGCCTGTCCATAAAGTATCCATCCACTTAATATGCAAAATAGAGGCATTTATTGAAGAAGCTATAATATACAAGAAACATTGTACATAGGACAATGACACCTCAGTCCCCTTCAAAGTAGGTACCTTGGGACCTCACACAGTTCTCCCAATCACTATCAGCTGCCCTGTCATTTTCCTGAATCTCATCAACAGTCTGAAATCTCTTCCCTTTCAAAGGTGATTTTAGTTTTGGGAAAAGCCAGAAGTCATGGGGTGTCAAATCTGGGCATAGAGGAGCTGAGTAACCTAGGTGATTTGATGTTTCACTATGAACCTCTGCAAAAGACATGATGCATGAGCATAATGAAGTTGCCAATCACCAGTTGCCCCATAGCTGCAGTCTTCTGAATCGCCTGAATAGTTTCCACAGAGGAATGTTCATGTTTCATGCAAAATTTGATGCAGATTCACTGCTCTACTCACTCAGTCATTTTGAATGTGATGGCCACACAGTATACATGCTCACTCAGTGGCGTCTACCGCCCCCACTGACTAGTACAGTGAAGTCATCACTGCTCACCCATGCACATTATAGTCCACTCTCCTTGGCTGCCAGGTTACATTGATGTCACACAAACCATTTTCGTTATGCTAACAATGGTGGGACTTTTCCTGTACAGACCTCGTATATCCTTAGTAAACTTATTGCAGAGCACTCTAATTTTCTCCTATTGAGTACTGGCTTTACCTCTCAATAAGTAATTATTCTCTTTGAATTCCCTCACAAAAAAATGAAAATTTCCAGTGTCCTGGAGCTAAGAAATTAGGCCAATCATCTTAGAAAGAAGCACCCTAAGCAATGTCATCAAAATATTTTTTATTACAGACTTCTGGCCAAGATAACGGCATAGGTAGATAAACTGTGCCTCCCTGCACAACCAAAAGAAGGACAACAACAATTTTAAAAACAATAAACAACCAGAAGTGACAGAAAATCAAACTATATGATAGTCCAACAACCAAGGAGTTAGAGGAGAAATATTCATCCAGACTGGTAGGAGGGGCAGAAACAGACAGCTGGGTGGAGAGGACTCACCACAAGGCAGCGGCTAGTGGGGCAGGCAGTCCCACATTCATGTGTGAATAAACTGGCAGGAACAACTGGGGAGCAAGACAGGCCACACAACCCAGGGTTCCAGTGTGAAAAAATAAAGCCTCAAAACCTCTGACTAAAAAAATCTGTGGGGGTTGTGGCAGTGGGAAAAGCTCCCAGCGTCACAGTAGAGTTCATTGGAGAGACCCACAGGGTCCTAGAATGTGCACAAACCCACCCACCTGGGAATCAGCACCAGAAGGGCCCAACTTGCTTGTGGGGTAGTGACAGAAGTGACTGAAAGCCAGTAGAGAGCTGAGCAAGCAGCACAACCCCTCTAGGACCCCTCCCCCACATACTGAACCACAACAAGTGACTTGGGTTGCCCGGCCCTGGTGAATACCAAAGCTCTACCCCTTGCTATGTCATAGGCATGACAAGACAAAAAAAAAGGCCCAAATGAAAGAACAGATCAAAGCTCCAGAAAAAAATACAATTAAGCACAAAGAGATAACCAACCTATCATAGGCACAATTCAAAACGCTGGTAATTAGGACGCTCACAGAAATGGTTGAGTATGGTTGTAAAATAGAGGAAAAAATGAAGACTATGAAAAATGAAATAAAGAAAAATGTACAGGAAACCAACAGTGAAGGGAAGGGAATCAGGACTCAAATTAACAGTTTGGAACAGAAGGAAGAAATAAATATTCAACCAGAACAGAACAAAGAAACAAGAATTCAAAAAAAAAAATGGAGAGAGACCTAGGAACATCCTGGACAATTTTAAATGTTCTAACATCTGAATCATAGGGGTGCCAGAAGGAGAAGGAGAAGGGCAAGAAATTGAAAACTTATTTGAAAAAATAATGGAGAACTTCCCCAATCTGTAAAAGGAAATAGACTTCCAGGAAGTCCAGGAAGCTCAGAGAGTCCCAAAGAAGTTGGACCCAAGGAAACACATACAAAGACACATCATAATTACATTGCCCAAGATAAAAAGATAAGGAGAGAATCTTAAAAGCAGCAAGAGAAAAGGAGCCAGTTACCTACAAAGGAGTGCCCATAAGACTATCAACTGACTTCTCAAAGGAAACCCTATAGGCAAGAAGGAGCTGGAAAAAAGTATTCTAAGTCATGAAAGGCAAGGACCTACATCCAACATCACTCTATCCAGCAAAGCTATTGTTTAGAATGGAAGGGCAGATAAAATGCTTCCCAGATAAGGTCAAGTTAAAGGAGTTCATCATTACCAAGTCCTTATTATATGAAATGTTAAAGGGATTTATCTAAGAAATAGAAGATCAAAACTATGAACAGTAAAATGACAACAAACTCATAACTATCAACAACTGAACCTATACACAAAAATAAAAACAAAGCGAACGACTAGAACGGGAAGAGAATCAGAGCAATGTAGATCACATGGAGGGTTATCAACAGGGAGGGAGAGGAGGAGAATGGGGGAAAATATACAGGGAATAAGAAGCATAAATGGTAGGTACAAAATAGGCAGGGAGAGGTTAAGAATAGTATAGGAAATGAAAAACCCAAAGACCTTATATGTATGACCCATGAACATGAACTAAGAGAGTAGAATATGGGTGGGAGGGGGTGTACAGGACAGAGGGGGGAAAATGAGACAACTATAATAGCATTATCAATAAAATATATTTTAAAAATAAATAAATAAAAAGTAAAACCATTTTTTATTAAATATCTTTGTCCAATTCAAGTGAGTTCTCCAGCCACTGCTCTTTCAATCTCCCCAACAATATCTTCACCCATGTGCACAAGACCCTTGTAGTGTCTCCTATAGACCTTTGTGGGGAATGGCCAAGAACAAAATATACCCACATCTATATACTGCTAATGGGATAATCTGAGTTTCACCTTATTAGCTCTTGCCAGACTCATCCCAATGTCACAGATGAGCTTGTGATCAACAGGTGGCCAGTTGCAGGCTACTTTCCCTCCTCATTTGGTGTTACAGACCAGAACACTCCTCTAACCTCATTACAAAATCCATCCAATGCTCAGAACTTGAATGACCAACATCCACTCAGTTCAGGGATATTTTTTCTTTCTTTCTTCTTCTTCCTTTATTTATTTATTTATTTACTTACTTACTTACTTACTTATTTATTTACTTATTTATTTATTTGCATTACTATCTGCTTACAAACACACATATACCTGCATACATTTACACTAAAGAAAGCTCATGTTTTAAGCTAAATATGGTACTACTCTTTTGAAATGTATAATAGCTATAGAATGATATGCTATAGTCATTTCCTGATATAGAATGAAAGCCAAAAAACACATTCTTTTAAGAACTAAATTCTGCACCAGCTTTATTTCTACTATGATATTTTAGTGCACCCATGTTACCATTAAAATTTTTTTAACTACCACCTCAAATATCCCTCAGCCAAACTACTACAATTGGAAAGGAATTTGTCCAATTCGTATTGCTTCTCCTTTCCTTTGAGATGGAAACCAACTGACCCAAAATCAATTGCTCAGATCTCCACAAGGAGAAGTAAGTTCAAAACTTTTCATTAATACTCCAAATTTAAGGTATGTCCACAATGGACAAAAATTGTAGGAATTCAAGGGGGGAAACAGAAGGCAATGGTTTTCAAACTCTGCATTTTTCTCTCAGTAATTCAAAAGGATTTTACAATGATTTTTCCAGGCCATTAGCCCAAAATGTCTGATAACTATGACTATTTTGAAAAGGAAAAAGAAATTAAGCAGGGATCAGCCACTGAATTTATAGAGATAGGCATGCCTTTATATACCAGCCTTTTCACCTTTGCCTGCATTGTAAATAGAATTTTTAAAAAAAGAAGAACCACTGGTCTCTACTTATAAGGTACAATCTTTCTAGACAGTATTTTTGACAAAAAAAAATCTCTCTCTACTTAAATAGGAACAATTGACCACCAAAATTTTTTTGTTAACTACCATTCAGAGAGATGTCAAATAAAAAGGGAAGAAGAATGCCCTCTATAAAAAAGCAAAGCATTTCATAATAGACAACAATATACCTTCCTCTCCAGAGTGACAAAGATTTGTTCACTTATATTATTTACACAAGTTGTTTAGAAACTAGGCAGAAAAATATCAAGCCAACACAGAATAAAATGTTCCAACAATTCTTGAAGAACAGAGATGAGAAAAGAAGCCTCTCCCTATATATTTTCACTTATCCCCTTTCTGCCAAAAATATTCACACAGAAGCTCTCTGGGCAGCCACTCCTCTGAAAACTGAATTCTTAGTCTTCATATGACATAAAAACCAATTTAGAGGTGAAAAATCTGAGTCCAGACTATATTTAAGCATACTATTCATTATTTCTTTATTAACCAAACACAAACCAAGCCCATGCACTTGTTCTGAAACTACATACATGTTTAACTAAATGCAATTTTTCATACTTATTTCAACATTTAGAAACCCACCAGATTTACAAAAATAATCTGAATAATTTTTGCAAAACAATTCACTTTGAGTATT